TAACTAATTACTAATTGTTTTTTAAATAAAGTAATCAGAACAGTAACGTGATTACTTTTAAATGGAGTAATCAGTAATTTGATTACATTTTCAGAGTAACTTGCCCAACACTGGTAGCTGTGTAGGTTGCTGTTCAAGTCTCTACATTGTGATGGTAGGATACAAGAAAATCATACCTCACAGCTTCAAAAAAGTCATCTTAGAGAAGCTACACATAGCTCATCAAGGTATCCAGAGAACAAAGGCCAAAGCAAGAAAATCCCTCTACTGGCCTTGAATGGTACAAAACATTGAGATGATGGTGGAGAAATGTGCGCTGTGCCAAAAACTCCAGTCACGAAAAGAGCCACTCATCACACAGAATGTTCCAGAACTACCTTGGATGAAGGTTGGAGCGAATATCTTCAAGCTGAGAGGTCAGTCTTATCTATTGCTAGTGGTTTATTTGACAAAATATCCAGTCTTTGCTAAGCATGGTATCCCGAAAGAATTAGTGAGTGACAATGTTCCATTCGCCAGTTACAAAATGAAGTCATTTGCGGCATCATGGGACTTTAAGCTCACATTCTACAGTATAGTCCAGGATACCCTCAGTCCAGTGAACTTGTGGAAAGAGCAATAAAGACTGTTAAACATACATTGAAGAAAGCGATACAAACTGGCACAGTAATGTAACTAATTACTAATTATTTTTTTAATAAAGTAATCAGAACAGTAACGTGATTACTTTTAAATTGAGTAATCAGTAATTTGATTACATTTTCAGAGTAACTTGCCCAACACTGGTAGCTGTGTAGGTTGCTGTTCAAGTCTCTACATTGTGATGGTAGGATACAAGAAAATCATACCTCACAGCTTCAAAAAAGTCATCTTAGAGAAGCTACACATAGCTCATCAAGGTATCCAGAGAACAAAGGCCAAAGCAAGAAAATCCCTCTACTGGCCTTGAATGGTACAAAACATTGAGATGATGGTGGAGAAATGTGCGCTGTGCCAAAAACTCCAGTCACGAAAAGAGCCACTCATCACACAGAATGTTCCAGAACTACCTTGGATGAAGGTTGGAGCGAATATCTTCAAGCTGAGAGGTCAGTCTTATCTATTGCTAGTGGTTTATTTGACAAAATATCCAGTCTTTGCTAAGCATGGTATCCCGAAAGAATTAGTGAGTGACAATGTTCCATTCGCCAGTTACAAAATGAAGTCATTTGCGGCATCATGGGACTTTAAGCTCACATTCTACAGTATAGTCCAGGATACCCTCAGTCCAGTGAACTTGTGGAAAGAGCAATAAAGACTGTTAAACATACATTGAAGAAAGCGATACAAACTGGCACAGACCAACATCTAGTGCTACTGTCACTAAGAAATACACCAGTGAGAGGCCTGAATGAATCTCCTGCACAAATGTTAATGGGCAGAGTCCTGCGGAGCACAATGCCATGCTCTAGTGCTGTGCTCCAACATTCAACCCCACAACACATACACAAAAGACTGGTAGATTTGCAATCTCAAATGCGGTATCAGTACAAACGCAATGCCAAAACACTACCTGCACTGGCACCAGGATCCACAGTACACATGCAGACCAGATGTGGATGGAAGCCCGCTGTAGTGGTGCACTAGAGAGATGAACCTCGGGTCTTACACGGTACAGGCGCCAGCAGGAAAGACATCAAAGAAACAGACGCTACTTGAGACAGATGCATCCGAGTCTGTGCAAAGGTGTTGCTCCTAATGAACATTCGGAGGAAATATCCACTCAGACACCAAGACCAGATGACCAATCACCTGAGAATTCTCCGGTGAGAGTGAATGAACATCCAACATGCCATACTAGGAGTGGTAGAGCAGTAATACGGCCAACTAGATACAATGATTATATGTTATGGACATGTGATATGGCAGTATATAAAAAAAAAAGAGAGAGAAAGGAGAACAGTAGTCTATAACAGAATGATCAAAGTATTCTCAAAGTAATTTGAATGGACTATTAATGTTCACAGTGACCACTATTGAGTAAATATTTGGTATGGTGTTTGGTTAGTTAAATTAGTTAAATGTTCAGTTAAAAGTTACTGTTTAATAGGCTTGAATATGTACATGGGGAGATTTGAGTGAAGCAGCTTGAATGTAAGAACCATATCTTAGTTTTGTTAAAAAAGGGGATGTGGTGGATTTGGTTTGACGCTCTGTGTTTGATTAAGCTGACTTATGTGTCGTTCTGATCATCTGTTGATTGTTCATGCCTGAGAAGTGTATTTGGTGGTTAGAATGAGCGAGAGTTGTGTCCGAAATCGCGTACTGAGTAGGTACTACATTTGAATTTGAAATTTTCTTCACGGCCATTAAAAAAAGTATGTTCTATATAGTGAATGAGGGTAGTATGAATGAAATTCGGACATAGTACATCCTTCATGTTGTTACTGTCACATGACCTATCTGCCTCAGTTGCGTCGCTTCACTGCCATTCATAAATCCTGTCACATGGCCTCATGGGATAGTAAAGTGTCCATCTAATGCGCACTTCAGAATCCGGGCAGAAGTATTAGGTCATCTGGGTACTTTTCGCCAACTGTTTTTCGAATACTATGAATTTGGACATACTACTTGCCTCACATACTGTTTTTCGCCTACTATATAGTAGGGAATGTGATGTCTAAAATGGCTTGTCTAGTCTGAAAAATAAGCTTTTTTAACGCTATATTGAGCAAAAGAAACAATATTTATGAGACAGTTGTCAGATATCATTGGTGATTTCAAATATGAAATTTAATCGTAAGCTTGGCAAACAGTTTTAGAGAATTTGATATTTCCCCATTCAAAGAGATAGGAGCTGCACTTGCATGCCCGAGAGGCGTTTCAAAGATGGCTGCCAAGTGAAATGAATTAAAGAGACTTTGGTAAAAAAGATGCACAAGGTTCACGGTTTCACAGTGTGTATATAAACATAGGAATAAGACACTAGAACACATCATACTGTATGTGACAATTTCTGATATAGCAATTATATTTGTTATATGTGTCTGTGTTAACATCCGAACAGCACTGATTAAAAGGCTCTTTTCTCACCTAAAGCTCCCCGGCAGATGTCTGTCCGCTCAGCGCCGTCCACAATGAACTGAGGTTTTGAGCAGAGTTCCTTTAAAAAAGGACAATGTGAGTATAGTAATGGTACAACTGAATAACAATAGGTTTTATTTGCTCTTCGCAAACAGCACACGTAAAAATGTATCAACATGTATCAAAAAGTATCAGAACAAGATCATCCTCACACCTAAAGAGAAACCTGAGCTGCTGTCACTTATAGTGAGCATATCACGCACACACGTATGCAAACAAATTTACTTTGCTTAATATTAGGGCTGTCAATCGATTAAAGTTTTTAATCTAATTAATTACATGATGTGGCGATTAATTAATTTAATTAATAGCAAATTAAATTTGGCCCTGAAGATACCCCCAAAAGATCATTTAAAGCCATTATTGTGTTAAATGAGAAAAGTGTCATTTTGTCACAAAAGTAGACATTTCAAAAAGCAGCTTTAGAAAGGAATATTTTGATCAACTTAAAATGTACACATTTACGTACTGACATAAAAGATGGAACTTAAAAGAAGATAATTTGAGAAACAGTAGGCCTATTTTTTGTTTACATAATGAAAGTCATTGGTAAAACAGCTTGGTTACCAACAGTCTTCAAAATACCTTCATGTTCCACAAAAAAAGTAAGTCATACAGTTTTGAAATGATATGAGGATGAGTAATGATGACGGAATTTTCATTTTTTAATTAAACAATACTCTAAATAAGAAATTAAAACTGCCAGTAGGTGGCGGTAAATGTCTTTATGAGTAAATCATTGAGTCATTCATTCATTCATTCGATTTGTTCAAGCAGCCGATTCATTCAGGAATTAAGTAAACGGCTCACTTTATGAATGGGCCATTGAATCATTGGTTCACATGATTCGTTGAAAAGGCGGATTCATTGAGAAACTAATTAGGCCTTTAGCTGTGTGTTGCTCAGAAATGCACAATTCTGCTGTGGCTTAGAGGTAATATTGTCGTTGGCAAAATTGAGCAAAAACAGACAATATTATGATTAAAATATAACACAGTATTAATTTCTTATTTACTTATTTACTTTTGCACTCGTGCTGTTCGTGAAAAACAGCACTCGTGTGATTGCACTCGCTGATCGTGTGTTAACGCAAGTGAAAGTGAAAGTGATAGTGACGTATTCCATACTCGGAATTTGCGCTCACCGCTCTTTTACGTCTAACCATTATTTTGCTCACTCTCTCTCATAGTTTATTTACCTCTTCACAACTTAAAGGTGGGGTAATTTTTCAAAAACGCTTTAGAAAACTGATTCGGGCCAAATAGCAAAACAAACTTGTAGCCAATCAGCAGTAAGGGGCGTGTCTACTCATGATGTGGAGGAGAGAGCGTTCAGTGCACAGCACAGGATGGACATTAGCCGAGCCGAGCGACAGAAAGAGAGATAGCGGATAAAAAACAAAAGAGGAAAATGTCTGCGGAACAAAAGAAGGCTTAAAGCAAGAAGTAGGACCCGTGTAAATATCGGATCAGCTTTCCAGCGCTGGAGAGAACTCAAGGAGCGGAAGGCCTGTGATCGAACGCCGAGGTTGCTTTGTTTCACAGAACTAATCATTGCCTGGGTTGCATACGTATGTGTGGGCTGGAGCTATCAAAATAGGAGCGAGACCCTTTTGGGGTAGGGGCGTGTTTGTTTTGGTGATTTCAAAACATTGGCTACCAGAAATCGCTTACCCCACCTTTAAATAATTAGTCAACCTGATGCTGTTCTAAAGCCATATTAGGCTTATTTTTTTCGGATCACAAAAGAAGACATGCTTGCACTTTTCCATTTAATGAATTGCAACCTTCTTCAATCTTTTTACAAAAAGGATTCAAATGTTCCGTATTCCAAGTGTTCTTAAGGCATACGGCAGGGTTTGCCATGTAAAAAAAATCGAAAATATAATCTATTATTATGCGAAAATCTCCAGTCATCGCATTTGCGCATTTGTATGAGTGGGCAGCAGTTCGCACCGGTGCTCCTAGGAAAAGCACACAAGCGAGTCATTTTGAAACATCAGGACAAATAAAATCATGACACAAAACACGATACTTTCTTCTCTGAGGTTAATATCCGTTCTGAGACAGTCAGACAGGATTATACAGTCTAGAAATCTACAGCCTAAAAGCACTAAATCACTAAAAGTTGTCATTCACTTCAGTTCTTCACAATCTTAGGACTTTCCGTTAATCAATGAAGCTGTCTGCACTGCACAATCACTCTCTTATTTACATCGTATCTACACGTTGTTATAATGAGAGGATTCGCGAGCTTGCAGAACTCAGGACTTGACAAAAACTCAGCGTTTTGAGCGGTGAGTGAACATTTGGCCCTCTCCAGAACACAAATACACACTGGAGCATTTGCCAAATATGTTTCGCCAATATCAGATGGGGCCCCCTAATTCCCCGGGGCCCTAAGCAGCCGCTTACCTCGCTTATTGGTTAAGTCCGCCCCTATTTAACTAATTAATTAAATTAACGCATTAAATGGATATATTTACTGAATATTAAATATATAATTAAATCTGTCTATCTAATATATTTAATGAAACTTGATTTTCTTGATCAGAGAGTAAAAGTTTGTGGCGAGGGGGGCGTGGTTTAGCGGGGTTTGCAGCGGGAGGGAGCGGTCGGAGACGAGCGGTGAGTAAGTAGGTCAAGTGCAGAATGACATTCACCTGCTTCTACTTACAGTGATTGGCGTGGGGAGACCGTAAAAGGCCACGGCGGAGCAGAAACAGGAGAGAGAGACCGACTGAGGACTCGTGGCCCAAGTGACCGAGAATACAGCCAAAGTGCTCTGAGTTTATGTTGTTTGATGCGTGTGATCACGCCAATGCTTATGATTTTTGGGCGAGCTAAATAAAATTCCACGAGCCTCAGTCACGCCGACTCAGACTTCTTCCTTTCCCCTAACGAACTTTATCACACTGGTGCCGAAACCCGGGAGGAAGAAGCACGGCCGCCGCTACCATGCAGTCACCGCCAACTTCGCCGTTTGCGGAAGTGATTCAGTCGCTCGCGGGCCTCCATCAGGAGCACCACCAAGCGCTGCTGGAGATGCGGGACGACCAGGAGCGTCGTTTCCGCGCACTGGTGCTGGCACAGCAGGAGGACCGTGAGCTGTTCCGGAGCTGGATGGACCAGGAGGTCCGGGCAGGGGGGCTGCCATCCCGAAACCCACCTGCGCCCGCGCATGTGCCCCTGAATAAAATGGGGCCCCAGGATGACCCCGAAGCTTTTATCGACCTGTTTGAGAAATCAGCGGAGGCCTGTGGATGGCCAAAGGAGCACTGGCCAGTGCGACTCATCCCTCTGCTCTCAGGGGAGGCGCAGGTGGCGGCCCAACAGCTGCCCATCCAGAACCTCCTGGTCTTCGCCGACCTGAAGCGAGCCATCCTGCAGCAGGTCGGCCGGAGCCCAGAACAACATCGCCAGCGGTTCCGGTCGCTGGATCTGGGCGAGGATGGCCGGCCCTTCGTGTTGGCTCAACAGCTCCGGGACGCCTGCCTCAAATGGCTACTGGCTGGGGGAGGCGACGTCGAGCAAATCCTCGATCACGTGGTACTGGAGCAGATTGTCAGCCGTCTCCCGAGGAAGACGGCAGAGTGGGTCCAGTGCCACCGCCCGGTGTCGCTAGACCTGGCCATCCAGTTGGCGGAGGACCAGATGGTGGCGTGCCCAGGAGTCGGCGAAACTCTGCCAGCTGTCTCTCTCTCTCTCTCTTCCCCTAATCCCTCTGTTCCCTCTCGACCTGTCCCTTTTCCCAGGTCCCGTCCGGGTCTTCTCCCCCGAGTTCCACCCCGGGGATGGGGTGGGCCGATCCTGGAGACTTCCGCTAGCCCGAGAGTGGCGCCCAGGGGGGCGGGGCTGGCCAACGCAGGCGCCGTTGCAATGCCGTTCTCTCCGCTCTCCCCACGCCAGTCCCTTGACCCACTTCCTGCCACTAGGGCGTGCCCAGGAGTCGGCGAAACTCTGCCAGCTGTCTCTCTCTCTCTCTCTTCCCCTAATCCCTCTGTTCCCTCTCGACCTGTCCCTTTTCCCAGGTCCCGTCCGGGTCTTCTTCCCGATCCTGGAGACCTCCGGTAGCCCGAGAGTGCCGCCCCGTGGGGCGGGGCTGGTCAGCGCCGGCGCCGTGGCAATGCCGTTCTCTCTGCTGTCCCCACGCCAGTCCCTTGACCCACTTCCTGCCACTAGGGTGGCGGGGAAGCCCGGGCCGGCCTGTTGACGTTGCGGGGACCCAGGACATTTTATTGATCGGTGCCCAGTAATGGAGGTGGGGGCACTGATCCGGGTCCCGGACGACCCACACTAGAATGGTTGGCACGCGGGCATCGGTTTGCATTAGTGCTGGTGGACTATGCAACCCGATATCCGGAGGCAGTAGCGCTTCGCAACATTTCAGCGAAAAGTGTAGCGGACGCACTGTTTCGATTAATCTCCCGAGTGGGAATCCCAAAAGAGATTCTCACTGACCAAGGCACGGCGTTCATGTCACGTACGTTACGCGAACTGTACGAATTGTTGGGCATTAAATCGATTCGCACCAGCGTCTACCACCCACAAACAGACGGGCTGGTGGAACGATTTAATCGCACATTAAAAACCATGATTCGGAAGTTCGTTCACGAGGACGCTAAAAATTGGGATAAGTGGCTGGAGCCCCTCTTATTCGCTGTGCGGGAGGTCCCGCAAGCCTCCACGGGGTTTTCCCCCTTCGAGCTTCTCTATGGACGGCAGCCCCGCGGGGTGCTGGATGTCCTGAGGGAAACTTGGGAGGACAGGTCTTCAGAAAGCCGAAACGAAATTCAGTACGTGCTGGACCTGAGAACAAAACTCCACACCTTGGGGCGGCTGTCAATGGAGAATTTGTTACAGGCCCAGGATAGGCAAAGCCAGCTATATAACAGGGGAGCCAGACTACGCAAATTTGCACCGGGAGAAAAAGTGCTTGTATTACTTCCCATGTCTAGCTCTAAATTACTCGCCAAGTGGCAAGGGCCCTTCGAGGTCACACGGCGAATTGGAGATCTTGATTATGAGGTAATTCGTACAGACAGGGGCGGAGCGCATCAGATCTACCACCTCAACCTCCTCAAAAAGTGGAGCGAGGCAGAATCAGTGATGTTAGCGACGGCAGTGAGTGAGGAGGATGATCTCGGGCCAGAGGCTAACATCAAACACCAATCCCTGGCTCTGGCCCCTGGAGGAGATCACCTCTCGCCCTCGCAGCTCACTGATGTAGCTAAGCTTTTCGCTCCTGCCTGGCCGAACCGACCTCATACAGCACCATATTGAGACTAAGCCGGGAGTGGTGGTTCGCAGCCGGCCGTATCGATTACCTGAACACAAAAAAAAGGTCGTTCAGACAGAATTAGAGGCGATGCTAGAGATGGGGGTAATAGAGGTGTCCCACAGCGATTGGGCGAGCCCAATAGTTTTAGTACCTAAAACAGACGGCTCCGTGCGATTCTGTGTGGATTATCGCAAGGTGAATGCTGTGTCGAAATTCGACGCATATCTCATGCCGCGAGTTGACGAATTGCTTGATCGGCTGGGTACAGCTCGATTTTATTTGACACTGGACTTGACGAAAGGATATTGGCAGATCCCGTTATCACCATTATCCAAGGAAAAAACAGCCTTCACAACGCCGTTTGGATTACACCAGTTTGTCACGCTTCCTTTTGGGCTGTTCGGGGCACCGGCCACGTTTCAGCGCCTCATGGACAAAATCTTACGGCCACATGCTGCATATGCCGCTGCCTATCTTGATGACATTATCATCTATAGTAATGACTGGCAGCGGCATATGGAGCACTTGTGTGCCGTACTGGGGGCTCTGAGGAGGGCCGGGCTGACGGCCAACCCAAAGAAGTGTGCGATTGGGCGGGTGGAGGTCCAGTATCTGAGCTTCCACTTGGGCCATGGGCAAATTAATAAGACTGCAGCGGTTGCAACTTGCCCGAGACCCAAGACCAAAAAGGAGGTGAGGCAGTTCCTGGGACTGGCGGGATATTATAGAAGGTTTGTACCCAAGTATTCGGACCTCACCAGCCCGCTGACTGACCTCACTAAAAAGGAAGCGCCAGATCCGGTCCAGTGGACGGAGTTGTGCCAGCGGGCTTTCACCCAGGTAAAGGCTGCCCTGTGTGGCGGACCGCTGTTACACTCTCCTGACTTCTCTCTCCCCTTCTTGTTGCAGACAGACGCCTCGGACAGGGGGCTGGGAGCCGTGCTGGCCCAGGAGATAGGGGGTGAGGAGCGGCCGGTGCTGTACATCAGTCGCAAGCTCTCTAAGAGGGAGACGATGTACAGCACCATTGAAAAGGAATGTTTGGCCATTCGGTGGGCGGTCCTCACCCTCCGCTATTATCTCCTGGGCCGGGAATTCACCCTCTGTTCGGACCACCGCATGAAGAATACTAACGCGCGGATCACCCGTTGGTATCTGGCCCTCCAGCCTTTTAAGTTCAAGGTGGTCCACAGGCCGGGGGCGCAGATGGCTGTAGCCAATTCTACTTACAGTGATTGGCGTGGGGAGACCGTAAAAGGCCACGGCGGAGCAGAAACAGGAGAGAGAGACCGACTGAGGACTCGTGGCCCAAGTGACCGAGAATACAGCCAACGTGCTCTGAGTTTATGTTGTTTGATGCGTGTGATCGTGCCAATGCTTATGATTTTTGGGCGAGCTAAATAAAATTCCACGAGCCTCAGTCACGCCGACTCCGACTTCTTCCTTTCCCCTAACGAACTTTATCACAAAGTTGTAGGTATCTTTACACCGCTTTGGGTTTATTAAGATTTTAGGGCAGCAATTAAATTTTCAATTTTAACATTTCTAAAATGATTTTATTTAATATTTTTATTAATCACTGAAATGCCTTCCATTGTTCCTTGTGAATGCAAATGTAAAAATTTACCATGAAGACTTAATCGATTTCAAATAGAAATAGAATAGAATAAATACACTACAAAAAATAGATAATTAAAAATAATTTTCATAGGATAACATCTAATTTAACTGCTGTTATTTGAGAAAAATATTGTTTTTGATATTGTCATTATTGATTAATATTGAATTAACTTTAATTAATTCTTTGTTATCATTTTGGCTATATATTAGGTAAACTGGATTCTATAAAAAACACAAGCATGACAAAAACTATATGAAAAGTACTTTTTTAAAATTTATTATTTTATATTCATATTTAATATTGATATTACTATTTTACTGAATTAAACTCACTACTCTTTAATTAACCGTACTACTTTTTATTTATTTACTTTTTTGCATTTAAGTAATTGTGTAAAACAAAAGTAATTTAGAGGGTCTCAATATTTACCTAAACTCCATCTGTGTGGAAGAAAGCAAACACACACACACACACACTGCAGTACCTTAGGTCTCTTCCACTGCACTCCTCTGGTCTTGGGGGACTGCTGCCCGAGTTCATTGTATCCCAGAGAGTCAGATTCAGCAGGGAAGGTCGGGTCACAGAACAGGGTTCCTTTCGCCAGACACTCCTGCTTCAGGCTCTGGTAGTCCTGCTTGTTGAAAGGAATCGCCTTCTCATTTGTTCCCACTCCTTCTCCTCTGTCCTGCCTCCTAGAAAGAACTTTTGCAATATTAGACATGCTGCCCTGTAGTCGTGCTCAAGTTTCTCTGAAGCTTGTGTAGTGTGTGTGTTTGTGTGAGACTGATGCTGGTTTTAAAGTGAGAGTTGCTGTACAGTAAAGCAGTGAGTGGTGGAGTCACACCCACCTGTCACCGCACAGGGGCAGGTGTTGCTTCTCTGGTTTAACATCATATAACTCTGTGATGCAAAATGAATACACAATACTTTAAAGCACATTGTACTAGATACAATTATATATAAGTAATCTCTTAAAAAAAAATTTTCTTTGCTTTTATTTTTACTTCATTATTTTTATATTACATAGGTACTTTCTTACTGATGTCATAGGTACACTCTTGTTGAGTGCTGTAAAGTGTGACTCAATACACTCTTACTCTTTTTTTTTTTTTTTTATTGGGAAACCAGGGCTGTTTTCACAATTTTAGTTTAAAAAAATATGTCTCAGGGAAAGTTTATATTTTGGGTAAAACAACAACAGCAAAGCATTTAAAAATATGTCTCAGGGAGGGTTTATATTTTGAGAAAACGAACAATAGCAAAGCATTTACAGCATTATTGCATTAAACTGTTTTTTTTTATTATTTTTATTTTTTATTTTTAACAGCATAATGCATTGACTGTTTGTGAAAGCATCCCCCTCTGCAGGTTATTAATTTAATATTTTAACATATATTTTTATTTAAATTATTTAAAATATAAATATTTAAATATTTTATAATTTAGATTTATCTGTATTACAGACAATTACTTAAAACCATTAAATACATTCTTTGAAACACTAAGGAATTCAGTAAATTTTAACAAAAGGTATCAAAAAAGTGATGCATTGTATAAAAATACTTGAAAATGTGTGATAAAGAGCTTTTTCAAATAAAAGTCTGCCTTCATCATATAGTTAACTCTTGTCTGAACACCAGTGTGGCTTCACTGTGTTCCCTCGTTTACCCAACAGCTATAGCAAAAATATGGTAAAAGTATGGTTTGGTTTGATCTACACACGGCTAGACAAACAAACACCACATCCATGTGTACTTGCTAAACCTTCACATTCAAAACCACATGCATTAACATGGTATAGTCCTTCCTAACAGCTTCTACTTCCAGTTTGTCTCATTCGCTGGTCTTCAGGGGCCGGATTCAGTTAAATTAATAAAGAAATTTCTTAAGATAAATTCCAAGCAGTTTGTAGGAATGTGCAATTCTAAGTGAAATTCTTGTAAAAAGTTTAAGTTCTCAAATATGTTCTTAAGAACATCTTTTATTTATTTTTTCTTAAAGGGGTCATATGATGCTATTTTAAAGATAATTATTTTGTGTATTTGGTGTAACAGAATATGTTGACATGCTTTAATGTACAAAAAACACATTATTTTTCAAATACTGTACATTATTGTAGGTCCTCTATTCCCCGCCTCTCTCAAACACGTCGTTTTCAACAAAGCCCCCTCCTTTGACAAGCACAGTCTGCTCTGATTGGCCAGCTGACCCAGTGCATTGTGATTGGCCGAACACAACAAGCACGCGTCGGAAATGTAACGCCCCTTACCATAAATCTTGCAATCTTTCAAAATAAATGTAAAGACAGTAAATAATGTCATTAGTTTTACCATCAGTTCAAGCC